AAGGACAAAACTGCAAAGAAAAATGTACCGCCACAGCCAAGGGCATTCCACATGATCCTCGACGAAGCGAATCAAGGATGAGAATTTTATATCCAACGATCAAGTTATGAAGTAACAGTGCGAATAGTAACTTATGATGTAGCCTATTAGAGGCATAATATAGGGTGAACTTGAAATTTTGTGTAATAGTTTCAAGAATTAATATAAACCCTGGTTTTGTTATCTGATGTGTTGAATGATTATATGATTTATGTATGGTGACTTGGTTAACTGCGAGACAATACTTGGGATGAGTATGAGTAGGTGTGAATGGTAGTAGAGATCTATACTACCGGAAGCACAAGACTCACGCTTGGATCATGGGAAGTCGCAAGGTTACCAAGAAGCTAGAAATTGTTTCCGTTTTATTCAAGCATGTCATTACCATTGTTTCGATAATGACTAGTAGGATGATGGTTATTCCGACCCTAGTGGTCATATTAAATTGAGTCCGAGTATGATGAGAGATCATCGGGACACAACCCATCGATTAGTTACAATAGATAAATGAATGTATTTATCCTAAGAAGAAGAAGGAGTCCACATTAAGGATTTATTTTGTAACTTGAAGATTATGATTGAAAGTCCAGCATAGTACGAAGAGTAGCTGCAGGATTGAGCATCAAGGTTATTACTTAGGGTGGAGAGATAACTTATGGAGTCAGTATACGAATCCTATTTTGTTGATGATTCCAGGACATAATCATCCTAAGGAGGAGATAACTGTAACGCTCGTAGATCAGGGCTAGTCAATTTAGAGACGATAAGCATCAAAAATGAACTTTTGATAAAAGATTATTTAGAATGAATAATCTTAACTAAGTTGTAGTATATGTTACAAGGATTCCGTACATATAAAGAACGCCGAAATCCGAGTTATAACGAAGAAGTTATGACCTGTCGAAGTTTCGCGACAGAACCGGCACAACACAGCGCGACGTAAAAAGTGAATTTACGTTAGAGCGATATTTAACCTTAGCAATCTAAATGAAAGTCGTAGAATACGTTAAACCATGAGCGTGCATAAAAAGAACGCCCAAATCTGACTTCGTATGAAGAAGTTATGATTTTTCGAAGTTTCCACTTAGCGGTATGCAACCCGAAATGCTTGATTTGAGATCGAGCGGTTTTTAGCCGAAGCAATCTAAACGAGAATCGAAGATATCGTTGTTGGTATCGAAGCGATAAAAAGTTAGGCGAGAGCGGACGTCAAACGAAGAAGTTATGAAATTTATAACGAAATTTTCTGTCCCGACCTCCTATAAATAAATAATAAAAATAAATTCAAAATTAGCCGACGGAGTCTAAACGAAAGTTGTAGAGCGTAGTCTCACCTTCGCGTGGATATAAAGAACGTCGAAAACAGAGTTCGTATGAGAGAGATATGAATTTTCGAAGTTTATTAAATATTTAATATTTATTTTTAATTAAACCTCCGATATTATCCGAATGGGAGTCAGCCGACCCATCCGAAGTACGCCCCGCATACAGCGAAGGGTGACGAAACCAGCACTCGAGTACCTCCGATGACGCAATTGCTTACGATCTGAGGCGTACGCCCCGCGTACGTGCCCTCTATATGTGTCGCTTTATAATTTTAATGAACGCGCGTTCCTTAGTTACAAGCGGGAAAAGAAAAGCCAAAAAATTAGAAAAGCCCGCTACCCTCCCTGCCCTAAGCATTTTCACGCATCTTTCATTCTCCTCACACTATTGTGCAATTTCTCAATCAAAGATCGAAGGTTATGATTTCATCTCCATCTCTCGACTTCATCATCTCAATCAAGCACTATTCCTTGACCTGCTTCCTTCTAGATACGCTTCTGATCGAGAGATTCAGGTTAGGGCTTTCAAGGCGCCGTGGAAACTGTAATGGTGTTCATTGTGGCGGAGGGATTAGGGTTTCTAGAGTGAGAGACGAAAGGGGAAATTGGAGTAAATGTCCGTAGAAGGAAGCATGTAATGTTGTTCTCTATTAACTGACGACTTAGGGTTTTAACTTTCACCATTGCTGCTGCTTCGCCACCTAAGCGAATCGACACTCATAACGCACCTTCCACTTCAACTCTTTTCACAGATTTCTTCCCAGATGATTTTATGATTTCTGATTTCTTCCATCTGATTTTAATTTTAGATTGAGATTTCTAAATGTCAGTCGCCAGCAGCCTATCACCGAAACCAAACTGAGACTCGCTCAATCGCTAAAAGCCTGGGATTTGCTAAAAATCTATTACTCAAACGTGGGATTGACTGAAAGTCTAATACTCGTTGAAAAACGAATGCCTGATTTCCAATTAGGATTTCGTATTTATGGAATCCAAGTTCTTGATTCCTGAATTTGATTTCCCTTGACCCTCCTTACAGATTCGTAGAAAATTCAGAAGAGCCGCCACATATCTAAAGCACACGGTACCATCTCTCTCTCACACACACACACACACACATGGTTATAGATACTGAATCTTTTGGGGGAACTGCGTGTTTCTTGGTTTTCTGCATTTGTGTGCATGCCTACAACGTGTTTGTGGAAATGTTTAATAGGTTGTGGTGAACACATGGCAGACCATTGAAAGAAGAATACACGTCGACTCTACTCTTTGTGATGGTACTCCGGGGACCGCTTTCTTGCTCTTGAAATTTTTTCCAGTGAATGGCAACAAGAATGATCTGAACACCTCTGCTTGCATTATTGAAGCTTGTGACTCTGCTTCTGCAAGCTTTAGGTACCCTCTATAGTACTCCAATCTCATTATCTTGATATATAAATTCATATTTAACATATTGTTGAAATCGATAATGATAGGGATGTAACCTTTTTATGCGGAAGTGCCGGAGCTTGTACTCTTGGTGCTGTTGTGTCAAAGTACCAAGAAAATACACAACACAGATGATTGAATACTATTTGACCCGATTCAAAGAGGTAATATAGTAATTTATATTGATTTTCTTGCTTAATAAGCATAATGCTCATTTATATAACATTGATTTTGCCTAATTTTGGAACAGATTGAAGTAAAGGAACATTGGGGAGATGGAATGTTACACAGGAGTGTTGAACACTCATGATGTTGCAGGCATGCTTTTCACCTCTATTTGATGCAAGTTCCTTTCTGATCCTTTATATAGTAATGTTTGTATACTTTTGTAGTGCCATGGTAAGGATTATACTCATTTTACATTTTTACCTTTTTTTCATATGTTTAATTTCCTGTCAACTTAAACTTTTTTGTCTAACGATATGACAGGTACAACTAATGCTTGTGCTTGCTCCAACTGCATTCATATTATCCGAAATTGCTCTTTCTGAAGCCTTTGATGTTTTCGCAAGATCAAATAAATTCTATGTTTTTAGTTTATTTGAAAATACCCAAAATGAAGTAAGTATTTGCAATCACACACGCGCACTTTTTTAGTCCTCAAAATTATTTTATTGACTTTTTTGTTGACTTTGACCACTAAGGTTTGGGATGGAGTATCTGCTAGTACTGTTTCCATGGAAAATAGTGACAAAAAAAGAAGATTTGTTGAAGAAAAGACCTTCCAAGAAAACCAAAAAAAGAGGTGGTTGTGGAAGAGACTTCCAAGAAAAAGACTGAAAAGTGGCCCTTAGTCTTGCATGTTGACACATCGATTTTTGCTCTTTTCTTAATTGTGTTGATGGGTGCCTTCCATGTGGTAACCATACTTTCTTCCATTAAAGTAGGTTTTTTTAATCAAGTGAAAAAGAAACACCCATGCATAGCTTACCAGATTAGGGTTTGTTTCTTTCTTTTCCATTAAGTGATGAATGGTGTATGTTGTATGTACAAGGACTTTTTCTTATTTGCACCTAATGAACCATCTGAATGACAAAGTAAATGACGATTTTACCCTTTGTTTAGGTTCATAGTGTGCAGGATGCAACAGAAGCATATTCAACTCTTTAAATTGTGCTCACTTCTCATCCACCTGAAGGTCTTCATATTTTTGATGATTTCAGAGAGGCTTACGCATGGTTAAGCCATAACACTGAAGTAGATGATAAAGTAAGTAACTCATTGTATTCAATCAACATTTATATAAGGTCTTATCCATGCATAGGACTTAGGACTTAATGCACTCATTCACACACACACACACTTGATGTTACCAAACAACAACAATGGCTAGCAGGACAATTATAGTTGATAATACAACATGGAACAACACACATTGCTACTGTTGGTACTGCCATGTCATCACCCAAAAAAGCTGCTTGAGAATTTTTCAACTGTTTGGATATCTAGTTTTATTTTTTATTTTTAAATAATAATAAAGAATTGAAAATAAGAAATTAATTATTTGAAGTTTTCATCATTGTCAGGTGTCGTGGGATACTCTAGTGATGATATAAAAAAGTTCCTATGAATGGGTGTGTATAGGAGGAGGCATCTTCCCACATATGAAGGAGCCTAATTATCTTGTATGTTTAAGTACTTCAAGTAATGTGCTTTCATTTTTTTAATTAGTTATAGCATTGTACTTTCAAGTAGTTTCTAATTAGGGCATTGTAGTTTTAAAAAATGGAAAATAAATTACTTCTTTTTCATTGTTATTTCTTATCAGGTCAATACCAAATTGCTTCACATGCGACTCCAACCATGCTAAACCCCCTTATGTACAAACTATCATATTTCAAGTAATCAGTAATCAACTACTTTTTTCTTGTTTTGTTTAACAACATAAGTAAGTCTTATTTTATTTTATTTATTTATGTAGATTTATGGAGACTGATGGTGGTAGAGGATATGATAGAGTTAGGAAAACTGTAATAGGAAAAAAGCATTTCAAATTGACTCATTTTATTCCTGCTTTTGAATATATTTTTCATCTGCCTCATCAATGAAATGGATGCCTCTGTTAACAATGTGTACTTCCATTGGTTTAATTATATATACATATAATACGGTTCTAAATGGGTGTATTATATGTGGGCAGATGCAATGGGAAAGCTAGAAGATATGGAGAGTTCCAACCGTGAACGCCTTTGGCCCCAACTTGTTAAGGGTTTCAAAGATCTTTCTGAGCGCTTGAAGGTATTTGATATGACTACATTCTTAATCAAAACACATGTCAAAACCTTTATTCTTTTAGCAATCAGTGTTAGTTTAATGTGCACACAATAATAGATGTGATTATGACTTATGAGCTTGTATTCATTGATATTTATTTTATGCAGCTTCAAGACGAAGTCATACTTTCAAATTCAAAGAGATTGCAGATCACTCAAACCAATGTGAACAATTTACCCTCGACATTTTCCTTGATAGTAAATCCTCCCCTGAATACTTAATCCATACCATAGGTGTAGTATGTAAACTATTTATTAACAAATAAATAAATCAATATGAAAACCTCTCAAATATAAGTAAAATGTTGGTTGATAGTTTTTTTTTTCTTATTTCCAGGGAGTGGGTCAGCTGGAATGAGGCAAAGGGAGTGGGTTGACCTTTTGTTTTTTTTGTTAAATGTTAATCGTTACTGAAAGCAAAAAAAATCAAAATTTAATTTTGATTTATTTGATGTCTCGTGTCTTGCAGGTTCATGGTGGTCGGCAGTCCATGTAAGTTTCTTGATTTGTAACATCTTGTATTCAAGAAATAGCAATGTACTTTCCATAAAAATTATAAATTATATTCTTTGAAAAATTTGCTAGATTGGTAGGTTTAAAAGCAAAATGTCCTGATAAGAATTAATTTTAAAAGTAGAATGAAAATGACAAGTGATTTTGTGTTGTGTTTATAGGGTTGATGAAAGCGAATAGCTTTGGAGTTAGAAGAGGAAAAGAAAGCTCAAGCCGAAAGAGATAAGATGCTGCAAATGCAAGTGTTGCATTCTTCATTTCAATTGTTAGTATGAAACACAGAGTAGATGGGCCAATGTACAACTTCTTATCCATATAACATCTGTTTGGAGCATTAGTCTTAAAGAATTATGAAAGGCAAGATGCAACTTTACTTAGTTGGAATTTGATGTAGAGAGTAGATTAGATGCAAATTTAGATATTGTAAAAAATAGAATTGTATGACATTAAATTTTATGCAATGGATAGTATTTTTTGTATATGATATTTTATTTCTATTATGAGACATTAAATGCAAATTTAATTTAAAAATTAAAAAATATATAAATATTTTTTTTAGAACATTTAAAATTATGATACGCAAAAATGTGTGTCATCTTCATTTATGACATGGCCTTTCTTGACAGGAGCTTCCTTGATACGCATTGCGTGTCATAAGCGTCGTAAGGTTACGACACGCAAATGCGTGTCGTCTTCCTTTATGACAGGGCCTTCCTTGATACGCATTGCGTGTCATAACCGCGCGTCGTAAATGCACGTTGTAAATGCGCGTCATAAATGCGTGTCGTCTATAGACAACGCGCAAAAGCGTGTCGTCTCTCTTTATGACAGGGCCTTCCTTGACACGCATTTGCGCGTCGTCTAAGCGTTTTACGACGCGCAATGAGCGTCGTAAAAGGCCTTTTTTATAGTAGTGATGATAGATAGGTGATGAATTACGAGTCCAGGCGATGTTGTGGCTACGTATTCATGCGATGATAGTCTATCCCTTATTATGAATTACGAGTCCAGGCGATGTAGTGGCTGCGTATTCATGCGATGATAGTCTAACCCTTATTATGATTTACGAGTCCAGGCGATGTTGTGGCTGTGTAATCATGCGATGATACCCTAACCCTTACTAGTCACATATTGAGGGAATGATCCCCGAATTAGTATTGTCTATATGATACCGGCGATGATCCTTAGGAAAAGTTCTTAGGAACAAACATATAAGGAAATAAGATGAAAAGGAGATGAGAGGTAAACATGATATAGGAGATGACCCTTAGGATAATATCTTTTGGGAAGATTAAACGAAGATAATGGGGATGGGTAATTGGGTTGATCGTTTGATAATGGAATATAATAAATGTATTATTGTGGGTTGAAAACCCTATACGCTCACCAGGCTCCCAAGCCTGACCCACTCAGTTTTCTTTGCATTACAGGTGATGGCACAAGAGTATAAGTTGGTGGACTTGACGAGAGATTTTGGATTATAGATCAGTAGTTATAAATAACTGTTGTAAGGTTTATTTTATATTGTTTATGCTTTTGGTCTGTATCGAACATGACATCCCGAGATTTTATTATTTAATGAAAATACATTGTCTTTGAGAAACGTTTTGATAAATTTTATCATATTTTATTTTGGGAACAAATTCCGCAACTCTTTTAATCAAAAGATTACTCTGATTTTATAAAACAAAGCATAAACAAATCGGTCTTTTCTGGCCGTGAAATTAGGGATGTCACATTGTCAAACTTCTCATGCCATTGCTTTGGAGCCTGTTTTAGTCCATAAAGTGATTTGACTAACTTACAGACTTTGTTTTCTTGACCTTTAACCACAAAGCCTTCAAGTTGATTCATATATATATATATATATATATATATATATATATATATATATATATATATATATATATATATATATATATCTTCATCTAATTCACCATACAAGAAGGCAGTTTTCACATCCATTTGGTGTATTTCCAAATTGTGAATGGCTGCAATTGCTACTAATGTGTGAATTGATGTAATTCTTGTAACACGTGAATAGGTGTCCAAGAATTCTTAACCCTCTTTTTGACGATACCCTTTAGCTACTAAACGAGCTTTGTACTTCTCAATGGTACCATCAGGTCTCAACTTCTTCTTGAATATCCATTTGTGCCCAATTGATTTTTGCCCAGGTGGCAAATCTACCAATTTCCAAGTGTTATTTTGCATAATGGAGTCAATCTCACTTTTGATTGCCTCTTTCCAATAAAGAGCTTCAGAGGAGTCCATAGCTTCCTTATATGTTTGTGGTTCTTTATTCACTACATAGGTCATGTAATCAGGTCCAAAATCTTTGTCTATTTTGCCCCGTTTGCTTCTTCTAGGTTCTAATTTCTCTTCTTGAACCTTTGAAGAATTCTCTTCATTTGATTATAAACTTTTGTCTGGAATTGTATCATTCAGTCCATCATCTAGAGGTCTTTTCCTAGAGCAGGTAACCTCTTTCCCTTTATCCTTAAAAGGAAAAATATTTTCAAAGAATTCAACCTCTGCTGATTCCATGATGGTTTGGTTATGGATCTCATCAACAAGTGATTTATACACAAGAAACCTGTATGTTGCACTATTCATGGCAGGGCCAAGATAGATGCAGTCTATGGTTTTTGGTCCAAGTTTAGTCCTCTTAGGAAGAGGTACTTGTACCTTAGCAAGGCAACCCCATACTTTCATCCTTTTATAAGAGGGTAACCTCCCTTTCCACAGATGATAGGGTGATTTATCACTCTTTCTATGAGGAATTCTATTAAGTATTGTATTTGCTACAAGGCATGCTTCTCCCCACAGATTATGTGGTGCTCCAGAAGTAATTAACATTGAATTAATCATGTTTTTCAATGTTGTATTATTTCTTTCTACCATTCCATTTTGTTGAGGAGTATATGGAGCAATTGTTTGATGTATAATATCATTTAAAGAACAAAATTCAGCAAAGTCTTTGGATTCATATTCTCCTCCTCAATCAGACCTTAGATTTTTGATCTTTTTATCAAGTTGATTTTCAACTTCAGCCTTGTAATTATTAAAAGAATTCAAGGCTTCATCCTTGCTATTTAACAAATAAATATAACAATACTTGCTGCAATCATCAATAAAAGATATATAATAATTCTTTCCTCCTCTTGTAGGTGTTGCTCTAAAATCACATAAATCAGAGTGGATTAAGCCAAGTATTTCATTATATTTTTCAACCAATTTATGAGGATGTTGTGAAAATTTTGATTCTACACAAACCTCACATTTTATATTTTTATCTAATGAACATTTTGGTAACATGCCAAGTTTTGCCATTCTTTGAATAGAGCGAAAATTGACATGTCCCAATCGAGAATGCCACAAAAATGAAGGATCATGCATATACATAGAAGAGGGGCTAGTAGCGCCCATTATTGCATTAGCATTAACATTGGTTACATCATTGTTTGGTGTTTCAACACCATAGTACAAAGGTAATACACTGACTTTGAAGAGACCCTCACTAAGGTATCCCTTTCCAACATACATCCCACCCTTGGTAAGAACAAACTTATCAGATTCAAATACAAGTTTGAAACCTTTGTTACTAAGAATAGGACCAGAAATCAAATTCTTAGTAATTTCAGGAACATGTAAAACATCACTTAAAATAAGTTCTTTTTCAGAACTCAGTTGCAGTTTCACTTTTCCCTTTTCTTCAACTTTTGCTGTAGAGCCATTCCCTATAAACATTGGTTCAGAATCCGAGACTTTCTGGTATGTAGAAAACATGGTACGGGAGTTACAAATGTGCCTTGTGGCTCTAGTATTAATCAACCAATCCACACAATTGCTAACCATGTTGGTTTGAATCACTGCAACAAACTGATTTGGTGATTCAACCATGTTGGTTTGACCAGAATTTCCTCCACCAGAATTGTCACCATTGTTTCCATTGTTCCCTCCATTGTTTCCTCCTTGACCCCTCCTGAATCTGCAATCTTTGGCCTTGTGTCTAATTTTGCCACAAACATATCATGGACCAGAATTCTCTCTTGCAGTAGTGATGGTAGAGTAGATATCATAGAGGGAATCATCCATGGCATTTAGAATATAATTTCTGCAATTATATTCATTTGTGTTCCAAGTTTCCACAGCCCTTTGGTGTTCTGCCAGTTGGGCTGCAGTGGGTGGTGTTACTCCTTTTGCAGTAGTTGTCCCAGTGAGAGGAGAGGGAGAATCATTAGTGAGAACATTGGAAACATGAAGAGTTGTTAGATAAAACAACATCTTTTGTTTCCATCTCCGAAAATCTGAGCCTTTGCATTTCTCATGCTTTTCTACATGTGTTTTGATGATGGAATTTTGATCCATTCTTCAGTCTTTGATTTCTGTCTTAGATTGTTATGACAGAAGTATACAATCAACAAGACTAATAGAAATAAAACCTATGAAATTGAAATATATATATATATATATATATATATATATATATATATATATATATATATATATATATATATATATATATATATATAAAATATACAAGAATCAGTTTACAGAAAACATACTTGATGGTTTATGTTTACAACAGAAACATAAAAACGAAATTATGTAGATTGAGGCCTGCAAATTGCAGTGTCCTAAGACAGAAATTTCCCTAGTAGGGATCTGTCTAGAGGATAAAACAATCAATCCAAAAAGTAATCTTGAATTTGTCGAATTTTCTATGTCCCCTTCATCTTCAGGAAGAACAAATTTTGAAGAGAATTTGTGGTGATTGTTTCTGTAACCCCTCACAAATGACAGAAAACATGTATTTATAGGTATTGATTATGACAGTTAAAAACTGTCAAAACCGAAAATAACTTTCAAATACCTGTCATTATTGATTACGAATTTAATAAAAAATAAAGAATAAAAATTAATTTCATAATTAAAAATTATTTAATTAATCAGGAAGACCCCAAGAGCCCCAAGGC